CGACGTTCGATATGACGAGCCATTAATACTAACAATATAAAAGACATGATGAAATAATACAAATTTATTACCTTTGTTTTATAATATTAATGTAGTATATAGTTTTCTTATATTTTCTGCAATTTTTGCAAAATTGTTTAAGAATGACAAGTAATTTTCATGTTTTGCTTATGTCAAAACCACGTGGTAACAACTGTCAAATGTTTTGCTGCAAGGCCACGTTAATGTGAGAGCTGGTAACCCTAAATAATATATTATTATCTTCACGACGTAGTTAGTATTCGCCGGACGTTTCAAGTCGTTCTGAATCTTTTGACAGTGATATATATCGATAAATTTGATATATTTTCATATAAAGTCTCAAGAGTCTTCAACAGAGACGCAAACATGAAATTATTTATTATAAATCATAAGCTAACTTCAAGATGTAAAAGTTAGAAAATATACGTTTCGAGTCATTCTGAATTTTTTGACAGGGATATATCATTAATAAATTTGATATATTCTCAGGAAGTCTTAAGATTATTTACTACAGCCAAAAAAATAAATTATTTATTATAAATCATAGACTAACTTTACGACGTATAAGTTTTCTTAAATTTCTCAAAAATTAAATAGACGTTTCAAGCCATTCTGAATCTTCTGACAGAGATATATCATTAATAAATTCAATATATTTTCAATAAAGCCCTAGGATTCTTTACGACAGCCGAAAAGAATGATAGATTATTAACTTCCCGAAGGAGAAGTTTATGTTTTTTATCAAAAAATTCGATTCGCTAATTTTAAGTTTTTTCGACGTTTCAAGCCGTTCTGAATCGAATGAGACCAAAGTTGGAAAAAGTATGTGTGTGTGTGTATGTGAACAGATTTTTCGCCTTCAAACGACGTTTTCTCAAAAATGGCTGAACCGATTTTAAAAATTTAAAAGCCATTTGATGTATCTCGATGAGGACTAGCGTTTATCAATTTTGCGCGACGATCTTTGTAAATAGAAGAAAAGTGAAAAATTTTTCGTCCATGTTTTAGCCCGCAGTTCTGAATCGATTTTGAAAATTCAAAAACTGTTCGAAAAATATTGATTGGGAATCGTGCTGATTAGTTTTGGTACATATCGGCCGGGCCGTTTTCTTGTAATAAAGTGTTAAAAAAATTTTTTCGACGATTGCATTGATTTTTTTTTTTGCGGTAGATATCATAGGCTTGTAGATTATACTAAAATATTACGGTCCTACGACAACTCGTTTAGCTTCAAAAATTCGTCAAAGAATGCAAAAATTAGTATCGTTTTATGGCGTTCGTCAAAATTAGAACTTTCATTGACGTTTCCTCAAAAACGCCTGAATCGATTTCAGAAATTTAAAAGCCATTTGATGTATCTCAATAAGGACTAACGATTGTCAGTTTTGTGAGACAATCTGTCGAGCCGTTTCTTTGGAATTTGCAAAAAGTGTTACACTTTTCGTCCACATTTAAGCTTATATTACCGAATCGATTTTAAAAAATCAAAAACTGTTCGAAAGATATTAGTTGGAAATGATACTTTGCTTTGCCGTTTTCTTGTAATTAACTGTTGAAAAAAAATTTGAGCCGATTTTTATGGAACTTTTTTTGGCGTATATATCATGGTCTTATAGAGCTTACTGAAATATTACGGCCTTACGACAAGTAGTTTAATTTTAAAAATTCATCAAAGTTTGAGAAAATGAGTAGTTTTTTTTACGTTTGTTAAAATATAAATTAGACGATTTACTTGGTATAACGATAGAGTTCTTAGTTGTAATGAATATACTAAACCATTATAGTCCTAAGGAAACTGGTTCAATTATAAAAATTATTGATTTGTGAAAATTTCCTTTAGGAAATTCTCCGAGTTCACGTCTTCGTTCGTTTTCAATTATGTGTAATAATCCAATCAAAATACTTTTAATCACTCATAAATTAATTTATTTTTTATTGATGATTAAGTCGATTATTTAAACATATCGGGAAGTTCATATAACTTGCCTCGAGGCAAAATGCCAATACCAACTGGTTACAATAAAGCAATAAATAGTACAGATGCTTTGAATCTTTGTCATCTAGTTTACCAAAAAAAAAACACTTTTATCAGAAATCAGTTGCTATTAGAAAATGTAAGGATAAAATCAGTTAATTAATGAGTTGGTAATTAGTGGCCAGATACAATATTATGTTTTCGTTAAAACTTTGATATTGTACATATATTTAACACATATTTAACGCGTATGTATGAAATTTATTTTTGACTTCCAGATTAATCACAATCGGAATAAAAATAAATGTAGCGTAAATTTAAATTCCGTTTACTAATTAGCCATTATCAATGCGAAATCCTACTAATATTTTGACTATTAACCCATTCATGTTAAGAAATTCAAGTAAAATTATGCAATGACTTGCACAACGACAACGGCAAAACATCGTCATGACAAACAATTTTTGGAAACAACAAATTGTATATATAAACACGATTATATATTAATTAAATGATATATACTTTCTACGTTACAAATAAATAGGATGTAAAATTGCAAATCTAAATGATTTGAAATAATCAAACTTAGATATAAAAATAACTTAGATATGAAAATAATTTTTATTATCTTTCCGTAGGGTAAGTTATAGTAATGGGCCCAAAATCGAAATTAAAAACTTTTGCGTATGAACTTCACGTTTTAAAGGTTTCTGAACATTTTGGTACCTCAGAAAAAATAGATGTGTGTGTGTGTATATGTGTGTGTATGTGTGTATGTATGCATGTGTGTAGATAATTTTTCGTCGACGATTTCGAGCGTATGGATGAACCGATTTGAAAAATTCAAAAAGCAATCGATTTCTATTGATAGGGAGCTGATTTGTTTTGACAAAGGCAGGTTCAGCCGTTTTGGAGATACGGAACGAAAAGTGATAAAAATGTCAGTTTTAAGAGAATGAATCAACCAAATTCAATAATTGTGTCTAAGAATCGGTATCAGGATTGTGTTTCAGAGAATATACTTAAATCAGAGTATAAAAAATTACTAGTCTAGAGTTAAAAAGCTATCTTCCTTGGGGGTATTTCTATTATCATTTACGCCATCCAATAGAAAATGCAAAGTTTGCCAAATATTTACGTTTCAAAGTTTTCTGAACATTTTGGGATACCTATATAAGAATTAACTAATTACCTAATTAAGAAAATTGGACGTTTGTGTATCCAAAACCACTAAACTTGTATATATGTGCATATACTAATTTTTGTCGACAAATTCGAGAGCACCAATTCACCGATTCGAATAATTCAAATAAATTTTTGGGAAGACGTTTTTTATGATAGTATGGATCAACCGACATAAAAGAGTTTCACAAATTTCAAGACATAACTTGAAAAAACTTCAATCAAAAATTTTTAAACAAAAACAAAACTATTTTATTCATCAGTTTTTATAACCCTCGAGTGGAAATTTGATATCGTACCTCTTGGTATCTAGCTGGTCGAGGTTTGGTCAAACTTGGAATTAATTGGAGCTAGTCTACGTTTTTTTACTATGAACTTTGACGGTGCTCTATTAAGTATTACAATAATGTTTTATTTGCCATCAATTAGCAAAAAGAAAATTTCGAATTATATTTTACATGTAAAATGCGCTGATTTTTTAAAAGTACATACTTAATATATGTTTTGTTTAGATCTGTATCAATCTGTATCAATCAGATCTACATTTCTCAACCTAGTGTTTATTTGAATATAATCCAATTCTTGACCACTTTTCATCTGATGAGATTATTATGTGATATAAAGTAGCAATATCCCCGATAAGTGGCTATTTTTATTAGTTATCATATTTAAGATCTTCAATCTCAAGTGAAAATCCGATATCACTAGTGTTTGAAATCGAGCTGGCCATGGCCTAGCTCCAAATTAGATAATATATGCATCTTGATAATTTTGATAAACACATCGACATTATCGACATTTCAACTCTTATATCGACATTTCAACTATCTTATATCGACATTTCAACTTTTATAAGAAAAAAGCCTCAATAATTTGACAATAACAATATCAGTACCCAGTAAACACGCGATATGGCCACAACATCGTGGCAATATTTTATTTAGGTCGTGTGACATGCGGTTCCCATATTCATTTTCCTCGATATTACATGGATACGGCCGCAAATTTATGTAACTATCGAACAACTATCGAGGTTCGGTCTCTGGCGCACGTGGCGTTCGTGATACATGAAAATCGACGTTGACCCACATATGTTTGTTTATTATGATAAGACCGTCTGACGTAAGGCGTTAACCCCAGTCATGACGTCATTGGCGAATGAAAACGATTCGGTCATGACGTCATACAAAATGGCGACTCAGTTATGACGTAATAGCACCTGAAAGTGATGACGTAATGCAATTAATATTCTTTTCTGTACGAATAAGCATTTATTTACGTGAATAATAAGAAATTTTACAATATTTAAATATTACAAATTAGAATTGTAGTTTTGAAATTATAAAATTTTAACATGAACTATACTAGAAAATTTTTTACAAATTATTCAATCTTAACATATTAATAACAGTATATTTAATGAAAATTGTTGTATATCTAATGAACGTAATTCTATTTTTGGGGCGTGAAGTGTGAAGTGTTGCATAAGTATTCTATCGCCACTTCCTTATACATCAAACAGCCTGCCTATTTTTCATTATTTCATTCTATCGCCAGTTCATTGCATCAAATGCCAGGATACAGATTATGCACATATGACATACTGCCCCAAATTTTGGAAGTTTTCTAAAACAAATTCAAACATAATGTGATTTACTGTATATAATGTAATATATATATATACATACAGCTACCATATGTGTAGCTACCTACATGTTCAGTGTACAAATCTCCATCATCTTAAAGTCGCTTTTACACATACATTTTTAACACTGACTGATTTCATTCTATCGCCAGTTCGATACATCAAATGCGAGCATACAGGATATTCATATATGATGTACTTCTTGGAAGTTTTCTAAAACAATTTGAAACATAATGTGTTTTATTGAATCTAATAATATATATACCACTCCATATGTGTAGCAACTTACATATTCAGGAGACAAATCTAAATCGTCTTCGAGTCGCTTTTGCACATACATTTTTTTTAACCTGATTGAATTCATTCTATCTCCAGTTCATTATACATCAATTGCTAGGGTACATCAAGTTCATGCATATATGACATACTGTTCCCAATTTTAGAGGTTTTCTAAAACAATTATAAATATAATGTATTTGTTACCAAATAATATATATACAGCAACTATATATGAATCAACTTACATATTAAGAAGATAAATCTCCATCATCTTGAAGTTGCTCCTACACATACATTATTTAAGCCTGTCTAAAGATCTGTATATTGTTCACCGTTTCATTCCAATTTTGTACGACTTCTGAAATAAATATGAACATGGCATACGTGTTTGCAGTTTATATATATATTTTTATAGTTATTATATTTATAGTGACTTACATATTCAGACAATCATCCTCGAGCCACTTCTCCACCGACTAATTTAAGAGATTTAAGAAGTGAGGTTATGTCAAACACATGGATATGTTAATGTCCTAATGTGGTAAAATAATTATTTTAACCTTGCTAAACGATCCTTATTATTGTCCTCAGATTTTGTAATATATGCTATTTGGTTACCTCCTTTGTCATCTAAAGAAATCGACATAAAATAACGTTTCTTCACCCCAGGATATAATGCACTAAATGGAATTCAAAATCGTGAAGTAATTACATATCTATATAAATAATATATGATATACTTACGGTGTCATTTTTCTACACTTTTCTACAATTATCACTATAAACAAGTTGCTTAACTAAACGAATGTAATTATTATACAAAAGAAAATATAACTTGATACATGACAAATTCCTGACATATTGCGCCATTTTGTACGCGGTTAGCTTTCGTCAAAGGAACAGTCAACCCGCTTGAGTCGGTTCAGACAGTAGCCACAGCGCGCTGATGTAAAGCTTTCTTTGTATGGTCACACACACCAGCACACAACGCACACAACGCAGCGCACGACGCGTTTACTTCACGCCGTGTGACGTCATTGATTATGCTTTGCATGTGTGCTAACACACACCAGCGCACAACATGTATCTCACATGAAATGCAACGATGTCATTACCCCCGACAGCGCGTGTTTATGTCACTCAATGCGAGCTTTGCGTGTATTGTAACACACACAAGCGCACGCAAGTTTAAAATCCTCTTGTGGCGTAGATTCGATAACTGCATTATAATAACGATGTCGATATTATAGAAGATCACATCGCGTGTTTACTGGGTATACGTATATAAAGAATAGTAAAAAAATTATTTGGATTTTAAAATCATGAGAAATTATATTTTAGAACACAGTTCAGTCAGTGTGTTTATAGTAATTAATTAATAGTGAAGAATATTTTTTATAATTAAAATACTGATTCTTGAACGCATGAGAAACTGATAAGACTCTACATTTTTTCGAGATAAGGGGTTAGCAATGTTTTCGAGAAAAAACTTTAGGTAAACTGATTTTTTGTTATAGCTTGTCCTTAATGCCAAGACGACCCCATAAAATAGTGACAATGATGATGATTACGAAAATGCCTCTATACTTACTTACCATACTTTTTGATCTATGGATATTATTGACTAAAAAATCCAGAAAATTTATTATTGTTTAGTGATTCTGATATTTTAAATAAAAAATATAATTTTTAAAATTCAAATGATATATTTTTAATTCTATCTATTCTATTTTTTTAGATTAAATTTGCGTCTGGTACTTAATTAGTGGTGACCAAATTGTCTGGCAAAAAAAATTTGAGTATGATGAACCTATTCGAACTCAAAAAATAAAAATTAGACTGACTAAAATTCTTTCAAGCCAAACGGTCCAGGCTTTAACAAAAAGAGCAACATGGATCAAATAGAAAAAATTCAAATTGCCTAAAGTTCTTGTTTTCAAAATATTACTGGCCAATATTATGAATAAGACCGACAAAAAATATCTCAATAGTTTAGTGGTTTGATGTTGATTTTATGCAAGGGTGAAAAGAAAATAATCATTACTTGGTTCGATTGATAGGCCGATTCTGCCATAAAATAGACCAATGTTAACATTGGTCTATTTTATGGCAGAATAGGCCTAATGGCAAGGCTATGTTACGTTCTAGTTTTCATACCAAAAATTTTATATTTCATGCGAAAATTTTAGCATTCTTCTTCTAATTTTAAGGAATCGGCTAGGCCTATCTTTGTAAACGAATATTTTCTGACAAAAACATAAAATTTTTTTTCGAGAAGTCAAATACTTTGATGATAGAGGAACAACAGTTATATAATGTCTGACTGCATAGCAACTGCATAGGATTGTGGCAGTTTTTAGTAGCAAAAAAAAAATAATATGAAAATTGCTTCATAGTCATAGTCTTACTATAACATTGGTCTATTTTACTGCAGAATTGACCCTTGAGGTAGAAAGGGCTGAAAAAATGAGTCTCAAAAATACAGGAGATTAAAATACAAATAACCAGGCATGGAAGCATGGGAGCTGAAGCTTGAAAAGTGAATTGTGAATTAATAATAAAAGATATAGAAGGAATAAATAAAAGGTAGTGTTTTAACATCATGGACTCTGTTTCTTCGGGTAGAACATTAATATTTTCAGTTTTTTTTATTTGTATCCATTGGGACTTTATTTTTAAGCAAATTATGGGATCTACCAATGTAATGCTTTGAATGAAACATTATTCGCGCTAACCAAAGCCAGTACGTAAAAAAACAATCTTTCTATCTGGTTGCAGCAGGCTGAACTAATTTATCATCGTGGTGGTTTCTTGGCTAACCGCATCTCCAAACAACCAACTGTCTGCTTCATATAAAATGGTATTAAAAACTTTCAATACTATGTGGTTTCTATGCAATCAGGTGTCAATTTTTACAAACTTCGACGGATTTTTAAAATTAACGACTACGACTTGCGTAGGGTCGTAATCATAGATAAAAAAACATAGAGTAAACTGGTCGTAATGTTTTAGTGTGTTCTTTAGAACTGCACGCCCGAAGAAACAGCAAGATTCTTAATTATTACACTGCGCGATCAAAAGGGCACTTTTATTTTTTTCCTCGAACTCTTTTCTTAAATTTACTTAGAATTGCACGCTGATTTCAAATGGAAGGTATCATTTTCCGTAACAGCTCTAGTTTTTGAGTTTTGGGGAACTACCCTAATTAATCATTTTAATAATTAAGAGTTTTCTCTGCTGTTTTCTGTAGGTCTCCGACTCTAAGACGTTATGTGCATAATCCAGACAGTTTTTGTTACATATGAGGTTAAATCTTTGACAAATACCGGAAACCTATGTTGAACTGCGTAATGACCAATTTATACCTGTTTATCTATGGTAATGACATCGTATTTCAACCACTTTAAAGCTGATTTGAGCAAAATGATAAAACATAGGTTCTTCAAGCCTCAGAATCACCACGACGATTGTTTCTACTGTGTGGTAAATACCAATGAAATAAATTTAGGCAATAGAAGCAAATCGTTATAAACCACAACCCAAATGGTATTGAGGTCTACTTACAATCAGCTACACGAACCCTATTTGTGCTAATATTGAACAACCTAGATTTAGAGACCAACGTCAAAAGCGAAGGAAGGAAGAATTAAAAACTGATATATTTGATGGAATAGATTTGAATTCATTACCACTCTTGCACTCTTATTCAGAATGGTTTGTGGAAAATCTTCCATCAAGACATCAGGACTTTGGAGGAGCGATATCAAGGAGGATAGGACATCCACCAGATCTTGTCCATGCTTGAAAATCATAAAAAAGACTTTCGATGGCATAAAATGAAATATGTCACATTTTTTAATGTAAATTGGGGTAAGGCTTGCATATTGGCATATCTCAAAAGCTAGAGCTGTTAGTAAAACCTGTTACTGTTTCCGGAATCAGCGTTCTTGTATTACTTAAAAACCATCATAACATCTCAGGAAAAAAATTTAGTGTTTCGCAGTGTTATCATTTAATTTTTAACTTTCCTTAGGGTAAGTTTTAGTAATCGCAAAAAAATCGAAAATGACAATTGTTATATATCTTTACGTTTCAAATGTTTTGCGGATACAATGTTTAGTCAATGATTTCGAGAACACCGATTAACTGATAATTTAAAAAACATTCTATTCGTATTGTTAAGGAGACGTGATGATTAGTGTTTGGCGAAGCAGGTCTAGCCGTTCCGAAAATACGGGGAAAAAAGTGACAAAAACGATAATTCAGTTTTTAAGAGAACGGAGGGTCTGATTTTAATAATTTGAAAAACATTTTACTTGTATTGACAAGATAAAAAACTGATTAAATTTTTGGGAAGGCAGATCCAGCGGTTATGATCTCTCAATAAAAATAAGTTAAACTAGCTGTAAGTGGAATTCTGTCTTAAGGCAATTAGGGCATCGTGCCTTAAGGCAAGTTGCTGGAACTTCCTGTACCAAAAATTATTCTTTTTTTTTAAAAACGATTAACATTTTTGAAAAAAATTTACTTCGAAAAAATAAGATTTTTGAGAAACTATAAATTGGACAAAAAATTACTTTTTTTTTGAAAACAAAAAAAATATTTTCTTTATTTTGACATATTTTGGAAGATCTGAACTTATTTTTCAAAGCAATCGTACTGTTTTAACTGCATAGAGACAAAATATAAAGCGCGTAAGCGCGGCGTCGCTGTCTAACGGGTAAACATTGATACGGAACCCATAGGAAAATAAACAAAATTTATACTTATTGTTAAAATCTCTATAAAATATCTGAAAATTTGATGTGCATATGTCTAATGATCATTTTTGACCGCCAAATGGCATTTTTTTTTTACTTTTTTCGTTAGATCTCCGAAACCGCTAAACCTGCCTTTATGAAAATTTGATCAATTCTTTATCTTGTCAATACAAGTAAAATGTTTTTTGAATTATTAAAATCGGACGCTCCGTTCTCTTAAAAACTGAGTTACCGTTTTCGGCACTTTTTGTCCCGTATCTCCGGAACGGCTAGACCTGCCTTCGCCAAAAACTAATCAGCACGTCTCCTTATCAATATAAATCGAATGTTTTTTGAATTATTCAAATCGGTTGATCCGTGTTCCCGAAATCGTCGACGAAAATTTGTATCCGCACATACATACACACACGTACAAACACACACACACACGCACACACACACATACATCCATTTTTTCTAAGGTATATATCTTTACGTTTCAGAAACCTCTGAAACGTAAAGATATATAAAAATTTTCATTTTCGATTTTTTTGCGATTACTATAACTTACCCTACGGGAAGTTAAAAATGTAATTTGGCGCCAAAAATATTTGCTGGACATATGTACATCAAATTATCATATATTTTATAGAGATTTTAATAATTTGTATACATTTTGTGTAAATTTTTTTGGGTTCCATACCAAGATTTTTTGATTAAGGTACGGGAAGTTCCAGCAATTTGCCTTAAGGCACGATTCTATGCAACCCACTAGTTAATAGTAATTAATCGGTAATGAGAATAATAAACAAAGGAGGGCAAGAAAATCATTGATTTTGTGGTGCTCTCATACCATAGAGCTGCCTTCGGGCAGACTACTGTTTATTACTATTTTCTGGTCCACAGATTGAGAATCGCCGGTAACTCGCGTCGTACGTCACCGGTAATCATTGATAACAATGCAAAATTTTAAGGTTATATACTTATCAGTGGATTTCAGTATGCAGCTTTTTAATGTAAATTGTAGTAAAAACATTATTATACGATAATATTTTGCAATGGAATAATTCAATGAGTACGTTTTTACTTTCTTTCTTTAAAGTGTTATGAAAAAGTATGCGGTTATGGGCAAATTTTCGCTTAAAG